TATGCAAGTGCTATATTAGTATATTATTATGGTGTTAGATTTCAATTTCACAAAGAAACGTGCAGCATTTTGTCCAAGCAAAAATAAAAGGACACATTTAATTTATAATTTGTCTTAAATCTCATTTTGGTAAAAAAAAAATCGTGAATCGAATCGTGAGTTGAGTGAATCGTTACATCCCTACCCAATATAATGAGTTTATTATGCGTATAGTAACGGCTCACGCACCTTCAGGGCTTTGAGGAAGAGCTGGCGAAAGGTCTTGATGTTGCTGAAGAGCTCGTCGAGCGAGAGCTGAGCCACATCTTCACACAGATACTGAGCCAGATCGCCCTTTCTGTTGTCCACGTTAGTGAAACGCTCGTCTAGAGCTGCACAATCCGTCAGGTTCTTCTGCACAAACACCACAGGAACATTCAAGAACAACAACAAAGCTGGAAAGAGAAACGGTCTTCAGATTAAACCAAGCGGCAACCTCCCGCTCTCTCTCTCGTGAAGCCAACAAGGAAGTGACTAAAACTGTAATTCATCGACTGGCCGCTAGAGGCTGGCTCCAAAAGAGAGTCAATCCCATAGACTCCCCATGTTAAAATGCCCAACTTTACAGCAGAAAAAAACATGTTTACAGCCCGTTTCAAAAAATTATTTTGGTCTATAGCTAATTTTGCCCTTCATGACAACTGTGAGGGGGGTGAATTTTTTTATAACTCATCTGTTTAAATTATATTAAGCCTTAAAGCACTATAGACGGGCGTGGTTTCAGCAACCAGGCACCTCCGCTTCACCCACATCCCACCTTTTGCCCATTTTCGATTATCTGGGAGTGACACGCTGCCAAGATGGCGACGGCCGGCTCCGCCTACTTTAGGCTTCTAAAGCGCTCTTCGGAAACCTACGGGTGACGTCACGGACACTACGTCCATGTTTTTATACAGTCTATTGGTTAAACATGCGTCTGTACCTCAATAAGCCCTGAGAACTGCTGCTTGACGTCTTCGAGCGACGAAGACACTTTCTTCTCCGCGTCTCTCAGTCGCTTCAGAAGATGACTGGTTTCGGCCCGAATCGAGTCCAGATTTACGCTGAAAGAATAATTGAAAAGTGATTGAGAAAAGACCGAAACAACAGCTGAACACAACAATATTTTTGTTGCATAATTCCAAATAAATAGAAATAAATCTCAGAGTTTCACAAACATGAACATTCGCAAATATCTTTTTATGCCAGAAAACAAAACTTTGCCTGGCATTCATTTGTGAATCGCGTCCTGTGCATTTATAGATCATAGGATCATTCTCCAATGCAGCGCCATTCTCTCTTCAGCGATTCAGAATCGATTCTGAGCTTGGTTCGAAACTCACGTTCTGACAGACTTTCACGTTTGCTTTGTGTTTGTTTGTCCTGAAGCTCGATTGCAGCTGCGGTTAAATGCACTTGCATCCCAGAATACTTTTATGATACGAAATTGATGTAAACACTACGGGTGGGACGGAAAAAAACAAAAAACGATATGGCGATTTAGAAATCAGAAAGAGCTTTACACACACACAAGGAATTTATCTTCCAGTGCACAGACAGGTTGACAAGTGACAAGACACTGATAACGAAATAAAAATAAGCGAGTACAAATAAACACGTAAAAACAATACACAATAGACAGTATGTACATATGTGCTAATATGCAAGGGAATGTGTACAGATAAGGTATATTAAATCAATAACATACGTTTATTAAATACAAGTATAGATAGTTGGGTATTGCACATGTTTTATTGCACAGTGGGGAGAACATTTAACTGTTCATGAGGTGTTATATAACTTATCGCGATATTTCTGGCCGCGAGACGTTATCGATGTTTTTTTAAACATACAAAAGATCTAAATTCATATCTACACTGTGGCTGTTTAAATCAAAAGCTTGGGCGCACTTTGGATTTCATAGTGACTGACGATACAAAAAAAAACTACGTAATCTGCAAGAACTGTCTCGGAAATGTATGCAATGTATGCATTTCACAATTTTTTTCAGCACTAAATTACTAGTTTGAGGGTTTTTTGTTAAATGTAATTTGCACAAATTTGAGACGTTGCTGCTATGACTGAAAAGTTAGAGATGTGACCTTTCTTTAATATACATAATTTAGTCACAAACGGTTCTCTCTAGAGCTTATGGCCGTTTGACAGCTGCGCATGCACTTCTGCACTTGTTGTACATTGTTGCTATTCTATAAAACAGATGTACTGATAAATAAATGAAATGCATCATATGACTTTTTGATGCATTTTTTTTTCTTCATTTACAGATATCGTGATATATGTGACCCTGGACCACAAACCAGTCAATAAGTGTCAATTTTTCGAAATTGAGATTTGTACATCTTCATGGAACATGATCTTTACTTAATATCCTAATGATTTTTGGCATAATAGAAAAATCCATAATTTTGACCCATACAATGTATCTTTGGCTATTGCTACAAATATACCCCAGCGACTTAACACTGCTTTTGTGCTGCAGGGTCACATATCGTGGATGATTTTCTTGCAATATATCGTCTGTCACAGAATCGCTGGTGTTGTGAAATATCATTATCGCAGGCAAAATATCGTGACAGTATCGTATCGTGCGTTAAATCTCAGATACCGAAAGTACTTTTTGTTGAAAGCTCCACAGAGCTGCTCGTATCCATCATTTAAACTGCTTGACTGAAAAACTGGTAAAGCAGTAAAATTGTGAAATATTTTTACTATTTAAAATATCTGCTTTCTATGTGAATATCTGTTAAACTGTAATTTATTTCTGTGATCAAAGCTGTATTTTCAGCATCATTACTCCAGTCTTCAGTGTCACATGATCTTCAGAAATCATTCTAATATGCTGATTTGCTGCTCAAGAAACATTTCTGATTATTATTATAATGATGAAAACAGCAGAGTATAATTTTTTCAGGTTTCTTTGATGAATAGAAAGTTCAGAAGAACAGCATTTATCTGAAATAGAAATCTTCTGTAACATTATAAATGTCTTTATCATCACTTTTGATCAATTTAAAGCATCCTTGCTAAATAAAAGTATTAATTTCTATAATTTCTTTCCCAAAAAAATGATACTGACTCCAAGCTTTTGAATGCTAGTGTATAATGTTACAAAAGCTTTTTATTTCAGATAAATGCTGATCTTTCTATTCATCCGAGAATCCTGACAAAATGTACTCAACTGTTTTAAATATTGATAATATTAAAAAATGTTTATCAGCATATTAGAATGATTTCTGAAGATCATGTGACACTGAAGACTGGAGTAATGATGCTGAAAATACAGCTTTGATCAGAGGAATAAATTTAAAGGCATGTCAAATATAACACTGTGGATTGGTTTGATTCACAGTCTAATGGTCTAACGATAATGGTCTGTTATTGTACCAATTTTTATGGCCCTTATATTTCCTATTTGAGCCAATGCATAGGAATAAAGTTATTTCAGGACGAGTCGGCCCTGATTGTAAAGCAAAACGTGCTACAATTGGTCAGCGAAGTGTGGCTGTTATCTGATTGGCTTGAGCAGATGGTGGGCGGAGTCACGCATTTGTGGATTTGTCAGCATCTTGATGCCAGAAATATTTCAAAATCCACAAATGCATGCAGTGATTCACAAATGAATGCCAGGCAAAGTTGTGTTCGTGACATAAAAAGATTTTTGTGAATGTTTTTTATTTGCAAATCTCATTTTATTTATTTGTGAATTTAATTCACGTTTGTGAAACTCATTCTGTTTATTTGTCAGTGTTTAATGTTTGTTAACCTCTTTACATTTATTTGTGGATCATAATCTATTTATTTGATTCTATATCTCCACACACACACAAGCACACACGCTCACACACACGCACTCTCACACACACACACACACAGACACACGCACACACTCACACACACACGCGCACACACACAGACACACGCACACACACAGACACGCACGCACAGACACGCACGCACAG